ACCCTGGACCTCAGGAAACAGAGTGGGCCAACACCGGCAGATGACATGGCACCCCACACCATCACTGACGGTGGAAACTTTACACTGGACCTCATGCAACGTGGATTCTGTGCTTCTCCGCTCTTCCTCCAGACTCTGGGTCCTTGATTTCCAAAGGAAATGCAGAACTTGCTTTCATCAGAAAACATAACTTTGGACCACTCAGCATCAGTCCAGTCCTTTTTGTCCTTGGCCCAGGCGAGACGCTTCTTGCGCTGTTTCATGTTCAAGAGTGGCTTGACACACGGAATGCGACACCTGAATCCCATGTCTTTCATGAGTCTCCTCGTGGTGGTTCTTGAAGCGCTGACTCCAGCTGCAGTCCACTCTTTGTGGATCTCCCCCACATTTTTGAATGGTTTTGTCGTCACAATTCTCTGCAGGGTGCGGTTATCCCTAGAGCTTGTACACTTTTTTCTACCACATTTTTTCCGTCCCTTCGCCTGTCTGTTAATGTGCTTGGACACAGAGCTCTGCGAACAGCCAGCTTCTTTAGCAATCACCTTTTGTGTCTTGCCCTCCTTGTGCAAGGTGTCAATGATTGTCTTTTGGACAGCTGTTAAGTCAGAAGTCTTCCCCATGATTGTGGTGCCTTCAAAACAAGACTGAGGGACCTTTTAAAGGCCTTTGCAGGTGTTTTGAGTAAATCAGCTGATTAGAGTGGCAGCAGGTGTCTTCTATATTCAGCCTTTTCAGAATATTCTAATTTTTTGAGATACCAAATTTGGAGTTTTCATTAGTTGTCACTTATGAATATCAAATTTAAATGTAATGAACATTGGAAATACATTGGTCTGTGTGCATTGCATGAATATAATGTACAAGTTTCACGTTTTGAATGGAATTACTGAAATATTTTCAACCTTTTGATGATATTCTAATTTACTGGCCAGCACCTGTAGGTACTTTGGGCAGCCAGGGAACAAACACTTATTAATTTGACACAGAAGCAAAAATACAGTTTATGAAAATCTATTTATTACTATTTTCTACAACTAATGATTACACAGAATAACTGAAGGTAAATGATTATTCAAGATAATATGAATTGAAACAAAAATCAAACTCTCATGAAAGATGATCGTGGATGTTTTCAAGAGGTTATTTAAGTATTTTAGGAAAGATGTGAGTCTGGGATTACAAGAATAATCTGGCTGAATTTAGTGATCTTTGATTAATTTATCAGTACTGTACCAGTGATGAGAGCTCCTGGTAGATCCAACTGGCAAAGCCAAGTCGGTCTCGACAAGACTGAGGAGTGGTTAAGTCCCCTCAGTCTCCAATGTTGGTCTTCTGGAATATTTAAAGGTCCCTTGAATACAGCTCAGCTGCTCTGAGGTTAATCTCTGGTATAGAAGTTTGCTTCTGCTGAAGGCTGATGGGTTGGTTAGCGTCTGATGAAGTCCTAGCAGGTTAAAACAAATAATGGCTGTTTGGTTCTGAAAAAGGTGGTTCAATGATGCTAAAAGTGTTCTGTTGTAGTAAGTAAATAAATTTTATTTATATACCACTTCTCACAGACATAGAATCACAAAGTGCTTCACATAGATCAAAACAAAATAAAACAAAGTCATAATGATCTCAAAACAGAAATAGATTAACAGAAATAATTAAGTCGTAAAATTATAAAATTTCATAAAAAATGAAAGATTAAAATTTTGAGTTCAAAATAAGAAAATAAAAGGTTTAGTTAAAAGCAGCTTTAAATAAAAGGGTCTTTTGCTGTTTTTTGTAAAAGTGTCCAGACTGTCAACACCACATAAGGATAATGGAAGATCATTCCAGAGTCGGGGTGCAACAGTCTGGAAGGAGCGATCACCTCGACATTTTAATCTGGTCTTTGGAACTTCCAAAAGGTTCTGGTGTGTGGACCTGAGGATTCAGGTTGGAGCATAAGGCTTTAACAGTTCAGTAATACAGGGAGGAGCCTGACCATGTAGAGCATTGAAAATTATAATCAGGATTCTAAAATGAACTCTAAAGTTAACGGGCCGGGTAAGCAGCGCAGACATTAGAATAGGAGTGATGTGTGCTCTTCTGTTTGCTCCAGTTAGGAGCCTCGCTGCAGAGTTCTGGACCAACTGAAGGCGGTCAAGGGCTTTTTTGTTAAAACTTATGAAAAGTGTGTTGCAGTAATCCAGACGGGAGGAGATAAAGGCATGGAGAACCATTTCAAGTTCATGTTTTCACACCAACCTTCGCAGTTTGGAGATATTTCTTTAGTGATTAAAAACAGTTTTGGGCCAATGTTTTTGAGTGGAGTTGAAGCAGGAGAGGAACTTTGTTATGACGGTTCCCCAGGTGGTGAGGCTGGCTTATGGAGAGATGGTTATGAACAGAGAATTTGGAGACCACACTGTTTCTCGGTCAAATGAAGATGGCTGGACAGTGTACTGCCTGATGACGTTTTGCATTACATGCTTTTATTAACTCTACATAAAAAATGGTATATTTACTAAGAAATTGCAATTCATGCAGCCACAGAAACACTATTTGGTGTGTGTGTGTGTGTGTGTGTGTGTGTGTGTGTGTGTGTGTGTGTGTGTGTGTGTGTGTGTGTGTGTGTGTGTGTGTGTGTGTGTGTGTGTGTGTGTGTGTGTGTGTGTGTGTGTGTGTGTGTGTGTGTGTGTGTGTGTGTGTGTGTGTGTGTGTCGTGGTGGATGGCTGTTTATACTGAGCCAGGATCCTCTGGAGGCTTCTTCTTGTTAAAAGGGAGTTTTTCTCTCCACTGTCGCTGCATGCTTGCTTAGTAGGAGGACTGCTGTAAAGATTCTGACACTGGTGCTTCACAAATACATTTTAACTTAGAAACGTGCATAGCCTGTGTCTATCAATGATCATTGTTTGATCAAGTCATCAGACCCATGTTTCGGACATTCCAGTAAAAAAAGACAAAGCTGATCACTACCTGGTGTTGAACCGGACCTAGCATGAAGCAAGGATGCCTGACAGGAATGTTAACTCAAGAGTAGTGAGGGCTGACTATCAGTGTCTGATAAAGGCCCCGTTTGTTACTAGACTCACACCTCAAACTTCAAATTTATAAGGGAAATGTGTAATTTTCGAATGAGTTGTAAAAGCTAAGCTGTCTGGCTGGGGAACGATGTGTCTGGTTTCCCAGTACACTGGTTTGTAAACACAGAGAGGTGCCACATCGATGCAGGCTTGGGTGAAGGGTATTACCCACAATCCACTGGTGCCTTTTCTGAAAATGAGTGTTTTTCTAATGAAAGTAGTTCATTTTAGGACGATTAATTGTTTGTCTGTGAGTTGTTGATAAAGATGATGAAGACACTGTCCCAGTTTGGCGGTTATTTGCACACTTGTGTACCACACACTCGAAGCCTTACTGCACACTTCCTCCAAGTGCACGTCACAGAAGACCATAGGGCACAGTGTGAATATTGGGACTGGCCCTCTGTCTTGACTTCTTCTTTCCCGTTGAGACCGGTGGGGTGGGGCCCTGCGCCAATTATGACGAGCCGTCACTGCAACACAGTGAAATACTTCTTTAGGTTCAAGGAATAATTTTTGTGCCTCAAGCAAAGGACTTCAAATACCTTGGTATCTTGTAGATGAGTGATGATGAGGCAGAGCGAGAGATGGGATGAATTATTGAGCAGTTGCCTGTAAGCAGATGACATTGCCTTTCTCCATTCATCTTGGTGTAAAGGTGCTCTTGCTTTTCCATGTTGAGAGGAACCACCCAAAATGTTTTGAACATTTGATTTGGATTACTCCTAGTTGGACATCCGATTGGAAAGAGACGGAGAGCAATCTCTGGCCTGGGGACTGTTTAAGATCCCAAGGAGTCCCTCCAAATATTACCTTCAATCCTCTGTTACTTTTGTGACCTGAACTCAGGCCAAGAAGGGGATGAATGGAATGATCCTTTAAACATTTCTAATTTCATCTGTGCCAAGTGAAGTTTAAAATTTTTGTTTAATATTTTTTTTAGCTGGTAAATGATTAGTTTTCTTTCCTTTTACCAGAGGACCAAGAGTCAGATGTTCTGTGCCAGAGCTCGACGGTTGGGGAAAAGATGAGTCAGTCAGACTGGAGACTATTGGAAGGTTGTAGACACATGCCTTTGAGGAACAGTCAACAAAATAATTTCCCGTCTTTCTCACACTTGACATTCAGAAACACACAAGAATTAGGTTCAAAGCTGAGCTGAGACGACTAGGAAGCAGAAATGAATGAATGGATGTTCTTCGACTGGCTCCTCTTCACCCAGCAACTGACATAGACACACAATTTGTACTTTTACACACACCAACTCTCACAACTGCTCCTCTCGATTTCATCCCTGAGACAAATGAATGGTTTGAGAAAGAAGGTGTGAATTTTTAGAAGATATTAGCGGGACAGCCCGTCATCATGCTGTCCACTTTATGCTCCGAGGATTTAGTTGTCACTAAGAGCAACAAAGAAGGCTAAAGTGTCCCTCTGTCTGTCTGTCTGTTGAACATTGATGCAAATATTCTTACAACATGCATGTGCACATTTCCCTAACTTTTCCTCAAAGTTAAGAAAGACCCCAGGATGGTGTGTGTTTATTATTTAAGAGTTTGTCATGCCGTTTTTGTGTGTTCTAATGTTGTGCGTGAAAGCTCTGTGCAGTTGCTGTGGCTCCAGACCCTCATGCGTCAGAGATCCTTTCTCTTTCTGTGGCCCCTGAGCAAACATATTAAGAGCTACCTTATCACCCCTTATACAGCCAGGGCCACACACACAACACACACACACACACAAACATTAAATACAGGCCTAAACACACAGAACACATTCACAAAAAGATAGCTTTGACAACAAACACACAAAGCTTGTCGCCAAACTCCCCAAATGTCACCCATCCACTCAGCGGGGAGGGGTGGGACTAGGGATGCTTCAGGTCTGTCACTGGTTGCGCTGAGCAATCAGTCAGGCGTTCTGGTCCAGACTCTGGTTTATAAAGACATGGATACCCAAGGCAAAGGAACTCAACTGTTGACAAGCCTTCTTCACGAGGCGCATCTGTTCAATATGATTCAAGGGACATCAGACGCACCAAGAAGACTCGTAGCTAGAGGATACTGACGACCACCAGTGTACTGGTGGAAGAAGAAGAAAACAGTTTAGAAACGGCTTGACCTGTCGTTGCTGAAGAGAATTGTTGTGGTGTCACTGATCACCCATTTTGGTTTGTAAAATATCATCATCACTCTGAAGAGTTGGATGCATCTCTTGAGCACCAGCAGGACCAAACAGAACCTGTCCACCAGAACAACCTGAGAACCAACCTGAAACTCTACAGTCGCTCTAACTGCCAGCCAAGTCCACGCCACTCCTCATCTCTACGACTTTCACAATGCTCACCAGCACAGCACTTCTGTTTGGCATCAAGGCAGCTTTGATCGTGGTGGTGACTCTGGGAATGGAAGTGGACATGGTTCCTGTTGAGAAAGGTGAGGTCAGCCACACAGACAGCACAGAACAAAGAAGTCAGCTGCTTGTAGAGTCCACGCTGTTGTCAACACGAGTTCTGTGTTTCATTCCTAAACTGCGTAAAGGACAGCTGAATGAACTATAAGTAAAGAACCAACATAAACAGCAACAGGGAGTCTTTTATCTGGTAATTAAATGATACAACAGAATTTTTTTTATTTCTAATATGTTGACATCAAGTCGCTTATTGAAATAACATTTTAAAAAGTACTGGACATAAACTCATGATCACCAGCTTAACAAGTATTCATGGTCCTCTACACCAGAGGGTTGTAAACGGATGACCATCAGTCATGTAATAATGATCACATGTGTGTGAAAATGCTTCAGCTTTAGATGTCTGTTTGCCATTTCTTATTACTGGACACAGGAAGTATGTTCAAAACTAGCTGGTGAAGTTTGCCAATAAGGCCCTTAGATATTTAAACAATAAAATCAATCAGTTTAACAGAAAAGTCAACGCAAACCGTCCTGTTCAGAGTTACAAAAACACGAGTGGCTGATTATTTCATTTTATGTTGTAATTATGTGGGAAGCTGCAGATGCAGTTTTGCTGTTACCCAGATGGTTAGTTGTGAATGTGGGTTTAATACATTCCTTTTAATTTTATCACCTTCAACATTTTACCCCAAACCCTCACATTTCCAGTAAACAGTGCTGCCTCATCAGGAGTGTGTTCATCTGAATATTTAGTTGAACAAACTCAAGAAGGTGCAACTCCAGCAAATGTAAAACAGGACTATCTCAATGCAACATACAAGGTTCACTGTTTCAACAATTTATTTATTTTCATATTTCACTAAAAGTCAAAACATGTGTTCATGAAAAAATACAGTAGTGAACCTCCTTCATGGAAAATAAAAGAACACAGTCAATTACGCAGCAAAACTGGCTTATTACATGCTATTTATATACTAATGTATAATTATTATTATTATTATTATTATTATTTGTTTTGTTGTTATTATTGCTATTATTATACAAACAATAAAAATTATTTCTTCTGAAAAATATAATCTATTGCTTTTAAAAGTTTAACATGTTAAAAATAATCATACTTAATCAAATCTTAAAATCCTTACTAGGTAATAAAATAATACTATTCAAACAATAAAAAATGTCAATTTTGAATGGCCCAGCTCAGTAAGGTCAATTAAATGACAACAAAGATTTAAACCAATAACTCAAACATTCCCTAAACTAAACAGAAACAAAGCTGGGATTGTGAGCCACATGAAGGCCCAGCAGCAAACAAGGCTTGAGCTAAACTTTAACAACCAAATAGACTCAACCTGCTTTCAGAAAAAGCAAGAGGTCTGACAAAGTAAATCAGAGTACATAAAAATGGACCGCCTGCTTATCTGGAGGGAAAACGAGGTGAGAGACAGGGACGTGGAACAGCTGCAACTAAAAAGCCTGCAGGTGATCCTGATCAGACGCATCAGAGAAGGATTTAGGCCAACGCCAGAGAAAAGATGACAGGAGTCCAAATGTGTTTGGTTTATAAAAAAAATCATGTTTACTTTGGAACTATTTATTTTCAATAACTCAATATGAATATGTTGTAATAATGTGAGACGCTTCAGTTAGAACATGTTTATTATCCTGTAATAACTTTAAAACACTGAATCAAAATGTGAACAAAAATCACTTTAAAAATAAAAATAAATAAAATGACCCCATTTTAAACTTCTGGGTCTGTTTGCACAGGTGGTGATAATATGCTAAACACCACCGGACTAGATCGCAGTTTTCTTCTTGTTTTTAGATCATAACAAGTCCAGTTATCATTTAGCACTTCAATTAAAGCAAAGAAACGTTTTCAGCACTTACAGTGTTCTGTTTTTGTTTTCCAATCAACAGATCACCTTGCACCAGCTGCTCCAATTAAATCAGCCCAACTCAATCCAAGTCGTCACATCAAACGTTGGCTTTTGAGTACAGAAAGAGCACAAACCACGGACAGAACAGCTGTAAGGACAATCACATCTGGAGTCAGGTCTGGGGCATCACAAATACAGTCAGACACAAGGGGTCCGAGCAGACAGACCAAGATACTCCGAATGATCTCAGCCTTGGAGGAGCTGCACAAGACATTCAACAGCACTCTGCGCTCACAAATCACCATGTTTTCACGAGGTAATGCCAGTCATGCTCTGAGTTTACTTATTAATGAATGTTTCCGATGAATCAGCTCATAACATCTGCAACAACACTTTCTATTAAATCTTTCTCTTTCTTTTAGCAAATGGGAAATTTTCAGGAAGGAAAACTAAAGTGGTAAGTTGCTATTCAGGGTTTATGTGTTTGAGCATTCAGGCTTAACATATAACATAGTAATATGTAAGAAGTACAATGACAATTAGCTCTGAGTTTTTCATAATGTGAAGTTTAATGTTTCAAATGGCTTGGGTATGTTACACTAGTAGCAGTACCGTGGTATCCTGGTGTCCTTGTACCTTGGTGTTCAGGTATTCTAGTATCTGATACCTTTGTTTCCTGGAAATTTGATGCTCTTGTACCTTGATACCTTTGTACCATGGCACCATGGAAACGTGGAACCCTGGAACCAAGTTGTAGTTTTAAGTATTCATTCTTTCTATTTTAATGTAGTTGAGGCTACCAGCTGCAGAGGAGCAGGTTCAGTCAACCACCGCTACACTAACAGCTGACAGTACTGCATCCAGGACCAGCTCAGACGGTCTCCCAAGCCTGACGGGCCGAGGCTACAGGAAGTCCCTCCCTCCGCAGACCAAGAAGACCAACAAAAGAGGTTCACCCGAATCTAAAGTCAACTTTTTTTCATGCTCCCTTCAAGGAACAGTTCTGTACATTTGAAAGGTGTTTTTGGAAGTTATGAATGAATAAAATCCTACCCACTTCTATAAAATAGATCACAGTGTTTTGCTATCGCCACCAAACAGCTTCTGTATTCTACATTTAAGCCATTCTTGCGTTAGTTAATCCACAAATAGGTGGCAGAGGAGCTAAGCACTCGTCCCGTGACCAAAAGGTTGTGTCTGTCTCAGTTGTGGTGTCCTTGGGCGAGATGCTTAAACTTTCTCCTTCTTCTAGTGACCAATTAAATCACACTCCAACTCAGTCACACCCTTGATTTAAAGGTGTGGAACACTGAAAACCCATTTTTAAATCTTATTTCTGATCATAATTGGCCAGTCTGGGTTTTTCATGCAGGCCAAACATGAAGATAGTCTCCTACACCTATCTCCTGGCTTAGCTTCTGGGAGAACATATATGGTGAGAATAGTGTTTGCCTGACAGCTCTATGTCACACTCACTGTTCACAGACTCACCCATCTTGACTCAAGACAGGAAAGGCTGTTTTAACGTCATACAAAAAACAGCAAACGCCCCAACTAGTCAAAGCTAATCGTTAGCATTAGCACCACCAACGCACAGCAGAACTCCTCCAAGCTTGTAATATTTGTGGAGATGAAACTCTTATCCAATCCGGGGTGAGATGTCCAAATACCAGGAAATAAGACCCAAACTGTTGTTATCTGAAGCTCAGCTGTGATGGGGGTCACTTCTAGTTCTTGGTGCACCAGTGATTTTTGGCCCCCCTTAATTGAATGAGTGTTACTCTTGACAATCAACAAACTTTACCGTTGAAGTCTGGAGAGTCTGGAGAACTTTAACATGATGTTTTCTCTCTCCCACAGTGTGCTTTTGGAAGTACTGTTCCCAAAACTGAGGGTGTTCAAGCTGCTGCCCCTCCATCCCATCACGCTGTCACAAACATTTAGTCACACAACCATCACGCATTATAGTACTTTTGAAATCATGTCAGTGCCAATCAAACTTGCTTCAAGCACATTGCAGACATTTGAACAGGTTTATTTATTTTCCCACAGAATTAATGGCTACATGGCACCGACCTGTTGACATAACTTGTTGGTTCGAGTGTAAGATCCATCCACCTGTCCATCCATCCTTCAGGCCATGCCCTGCCTCTGTCTGGTCTTTGCCTTCCGACTGCTAGGAGACGGTTGCTGTGGTATCTGGGCACACAGTCCCCCTCCAACTTCAAACCGGCGCCGGTCTTGTCTTGAACTTTTTCATCCAGTGATTAACAAGACTTACCAATCAAAGATGACGAAGTGTGCTTGTGGTGAAGGCACATGAACAGACCCTTCCGCTAACCATCTCTCCATCAGAAGACAAAAGCATCCGTTTTTTATGTGTGCCATCCCTATAATAAACTTTTACTCTATCATGACAAACGTGTGCTGACAATAAAGTCTTATTTTTGCATACTTTTTCTTTCCTTTAGTGAAACTGATAAAACTTTGATAAAGGCCAATGTCTAATTCCATTTAGGTTTACAACTTAGTAGGCACGGATTAAACGAAAACCCTCTTTCAATGATGGACGAAGCTTTCTGCAGATGCTCACATCCTTTTCTGGATACAAAATCAATGAATTTCTCTGATGTTGTGTTGCTTCTGGTAAGCTGATAATAGATCAGACAGACAGACTTGGGCCACATGCATGGATGTTTTCCTACATATTGTTTAAATATACACCAAACTACTATTGATAGTATGGAGTGAAAGGCTACGAGCTAAATATAAGACAGAGGTGAAGGTTTTTGCACTTATTTAATTTTTTTTTTCTTCCGTGTCCTGTCTGGCTGTGAAGCAAACAGAATTGATGTCTTACAGATTTACTCTCAGGTGGAGCATCAAAGCGTCTGCTTTTAATGCCACGCCTGATACTTAAAACTTTATTGTTATTGTTTTTGAGTGCTTTTTAATTCCGACCAGACACGGAGACAGAGGTGAAAGAGAAAGGAAGAGACAAAAGGTAGGGGGGGGGGGGGGGGGGGGGATTGGGGTTGATCAACAAAAAATAAACAATAATGAACAAGAGTCTGCTTCGAGACCTGCAGAAGGAGAGAAGAAGAAAAAAAAATGGAACACAGCAACAATACATCAAAATCAAGCTATCACTGCGTCAGCTTGACGAAGAAATACATAATTGTAGTGATATTAGTCATCTGCCACCAAGTAATTGGACGACCTATCATTGAGGGAAGGTGCTAATATAAATAGAGCCTGGGGTGTAGCCACTGCGATCTTTGCTTTGGCTCAACTTCCGCTTCCTTGGTGAAGCGTAATTGTGTACGGGACTCCGGCGTGTCGGACCGTGAGTAATATCTGAAACGCTGCAGTAGCTGCATGGAGTCTAGTATTTATGGGTTGTTCCTGCTGCAGGAGTTGTTGCATGTGGTCCTTCCAGAGGAACGGAAGGCTTCTCTTTATCCTATGTGCTTCATAGAAGTGGTATGTACATCTGCGCTCCTCTTTCCACTTAGCTGTGGCTGTAGGGTAATGCTAATTAATGTGTCTTCCAGATCGAGGAACGGGTGTGTCTCCACGGGAGACTGTTGTTCTGCTGCTTTTCTGCACTGTTCCATCTGATCCCTGTTTTCCTGTTGTTGATCTGGTGCTGGCCCATCATCTGGTTCCAAGGCCTCTCTACTCCGCTGCTCGGGCTGGTATAAACGGGGAATCAGCTGAGACCATCGGGAGCGGCTTTTCTCTCTCGCTCCTTTGGACCGAGTATCGGCGGAGGACCTACACCCGGTGTGGGTGCGGCTATTTCGACGAAGGGCTGCGGGCCCTACCGGCAGCCGGCGGCTGTCGTCAGCACGGGAGCTTATAAGGATGGCTGAGGCTCAGGCCAAGAGACTGGTTGTGTGTGTGTGTGTGTGTGGGGGGGGGGGGGGGGGGGGGGGGGTATTTGGATTTGGATTCTCACCGTGCTCTTTGTTTTCTTTTCATTCAGGCTGTGAGCTGACAGTGGTGGTCGAGCCCTGGTGGTGGTCCCATCGGATGGTGTGCTCCAGAGGCACTTCACCCCCCGAATGCATGCACGTTTGATTGGGGTGAAATGACTTGTGGTTTGTGGTGTGTCTAGAGAGTTAAGTTTTGGGCTCTATTTTAGGCAGTCCCATTAGTCAGCCTCAGCCTAAGTTGATTTGGTTTTAATTAGTTTTCATCTGTTAGATGCATGGTATTTTTAATAGATGATTTTAACTCATTTTATTTCCCTTTAATAAATCTCCGCATATGTGGAATGGAACTCCGTCTCAAGCTTGATCTGTAAAACTGAACTAATGTGTCTTTAGGTTCAGCTGGTTTTGGTTCCTGATTATCAGGTGGCGTTGAATTTTAAATTGATAAGGTGGCCCCCCTCGCCACATTTGGCATCGTCGGCAGGATTTTTGCTCTAGAGCTGAGACGTGGGTTCCATTGTTGTTGTTTTTTTAGAGTTTATTTATTCATTTTTGTTCTCAGTATTTGGTTAATAGGTAGCAGATTGGAGTAAGCAGAACAGCAGAGTCTCTTGTGTAAGTGAGGAAATAACTATTCCTTACTGGTGAGTGCCCTGAGTTTTTTGTCCCTCCCCTAAGTTGAGTGTCTACAATGGATGTAGATCTTCAGAAGTTGCGGGACTGTCAATTTGATTTATGCTGGGGTGAGGGGAAAGGGCATAAAGGTCAATGAACAATACACCTGTTAATTTGATTTATGGTGGGAAAGGTCAAAGAACAATAGACCTGTCAAAAAGTTTGACGAAAGGGGGTCCCTTATGTCTCTCACATGTGTCCTCAAGACACCGTCCAGGGTGCATCTCTGCCTCGCCATCCCAGCTGTCTCAACTGGTCCACACGTTCCTCCCTTTAAATAAAACCTGTCCACCTTCGCCTCCTGCCTGCGTCTGTTCATTAATTGGCAGTTCAGGCCACACTCTGCCACAGGTGTAGATTATTGGGGTGATTAACACAGAACGGAAAGCAATGTTGCACCAAACAAACTAAATACACACCATCAATAAAAACATGCACAATAGAATTAAAACAAGTAAAACATGCAAACAAATAAGACCAACATTACCACTCTGTGACATCTGAACTGAACTTTGAACTAGTTTGTTTTTTAAACGAACTTTCCCAACACTGGATCCAGGTGCTTGTTAAAAAACTTCACTTCTCTGTTAAACAGACAAGAGACGGTAACATGTTGTAGCGTTATGAAATCACTACAATGTTAACACACGTGTAGAGGGTAAATGTTGTGCTTTTAAGCTTAATATATTACCTTTATTTATGACCAATAAGCTGAGATATTCTATAAAAATATAGAATATCAACCTGCTTGGTCTTTGGATGTTTAATGAGAAGATTCTAGGATTCTTTGCTTTTCAGGGATCAAACACACTTTGTCTCAATTCAGACAGAGTCAGGTTTTTAAAAGATAAGAAATTTATTTCCTAAACAAATCAAAAACAAGACAAGTTAGATTGGACTGTGATGGATGAATCTAAGTGGATATGATGTTATGTGTGGTGATTTAATGGTGTGTGTTTATCAGAACCTTGTATCTAGGAGAACTGAGTTCTGGGTGTTCAAAGAATTTGGTTTGCATTTAACTATGAAGTTGGTTCTTATCAAAACGGTATCAGACGCAATCTGGCTGTGTTCTACGTACCCCTGAGGAGACTCCCTTTCAGATCCGAGATGTCGGGGGGGGGGGGGTGACCCCAAGGTACAGAAGTTGTAGAAAAGACCGCAGTACGACCAGGTCTGTACAGCAGATAGATGAAATTGTTTGCGTCTAGAACAGCTGTTTCTGAATAGCTGGAGGAACTGTTTTGCTGTGTCAGCTGTAGGCAGCTTTTAGCTTGTCGAAGGCTTTGGGTTGAAGAGGGTTCGCTACGGATGGCATGTCCATAGCTTTCTCTAGAATTGACTCACCGTCTGGTGAGCTCTGTTTAAATATTCTCATATTATGATTTCTTGGCCAGCCGGGACGTGCCATGTTAAGGGGTGTTCACAAGCAAACCTCAGAACGTCACGCCTCTTTCAGATACAGGATGTTCTAATTTGTGGCTAAGAAAATATCTGTGAGTCATGACGTTTAACTTAACTTTAATTTATCTCTAATGAACCTAGTATCTGAGTGAAGATGATGATTCACTTGTTAAATCTAAAATTACTGATAATAATATCCAAATGTTTCATTTCAACCACAGTAATTTTAGCACAGATTAATCAAAACAATATTGATCATTTCCTGTAACATTTGTTCATTCCATTTCACGACTGATTAACTCATATGAGCTGAAAATAGCCACTTTATTCAGAGGCATGAGGAATCCTGCGGTGTTATCAGAAGAAGGCTTTGTTTAGGAACACAGGCTGACATGTTCCTCCTGAAATGTCAGCAAGGTTTGCAGAACCTTGTTGCTTGTTGGAAGGTAGAATGTAAAATCCAACTTAGAGAATCTTCCAGTGACCAATGGCATGTAGGTCAGTCTTTAGGAGAAAACTGACCATCGCTGGACGTTACACACGAAAAGACAGTCCACGTGTTAACAACAATATTTTATTACAGAATCATCTCACTGAGCAGTAATAAGGCCAGAACGTTGGGTTTGCACAGGTGACTGATCAAAATGCTGATTTACACTCCATCTCTTACAGGTGGAAAAGAAAATTAATTCAGTAAATCTAGATTTAGACAATCTTATGAGAAGAAAGCAAGGTTCAGGCCACCAGTTACAGCTCAAAGTACAATTCATTTGAATGGTGCTCATTTTTCAAAAGTCTACCTAATTGTTACCTGACGTTAATGGGATTTTGAGGAAACACAACTTAGCAGTTCAAATCTCCAGAGCACCCAGAACCTTCCCTGTACACACTAATCACATCCAAACCTTTATTATAATTGATACATAGGAATTATAAATTATGTAAATATTTGAGGCTCTTTTATTTTACCTTCTTGTTGTTTTTTCTGTAGGTTGTGAAGTGCCTTTGAAACATTTGGTATAAACTCTGTCTCCATTATAGAGTTAGAGTCCCATTAGTCATCATCACACTGGTGAGATCCCATCTCTGCATTGACCCATCCCTGTGGGAAGCGGTGAGCTGCAGCAGCAGTGGCGCTCAGCCACTATTTGGTGATTAATATGGAAAAATGAAACAAATGTAATAATAAAAATAATGGGTAACATTTGCAAAACTATTTTTTCTCCTTACACAGATAAAGGTAGAATCAGTAAAGTATATCAGTGTAGATTAATCTAGTCTATGAGAACTTATTACCCTTCTACTTTATGTTTTTATTTAGTCTTTTTATGTGTGTCTGGTTGCACCAACTTTTCTATTTCATGTAAACCAGTTCCCTCTTTTCTGCCCTCATTTTCACTAGTTGTCTCTGTTATTTCTAGGCTAACTCCTTTAATGTAGCTTTTTTGTTATCTGAGTGATCATTTCTTTACAATTATTCTCCACATTTGCTCCTAAATGATTCGTTTTGCAACATTTACATAAGCGAGCTCAATCTCCCTCTCGGCAGGGCAGGTGTTGGTGAACTCTTCCCTCTGGTAGGCACACTTCAAATACCTCCACACACCAGTCATCTCTGCAGGGATCTCAAAGCTCCGATACTTCTGACATACAACCTGCAAAAGATGTAGATAAAGTGGTCAAGTTCTAGATGTGCAAACAAGCAGCACTGAATATTTTTTAAGACCGTTTCTCAACCTAACCTTCAGAATATGTAGTTTAGGTAGCAGGTTGCAGTCGGCCAGGGTGAGTTCAGGCCCATCCAGGAAACTCCTGCAGGACTCTGGAACATCTCCTGATGCATCAGCATCTATTTCCTCAGACAGAGGAGTTCTCATGAAGCTGTCCAGGCGCCAAAGAGACTTCATCAAGGCTTTCTCCAAGACTGAAGCAACAAATATAAATATATATGAAACTACGTCATCTAAACAAAAATTGAATGAATTAAGTAAAGTCAATGACAAGAGAAAGCCAGAGCATAGATGTGACACAAATGACAATATCAAAGGTTTTATTCCTGAATGTTTGTGTCTAGTTGGTTGATTTTATATTCATTGTCGTCATCGTCTTCCTCCGCTTATCTGGGTCCGGGTCCCAACTAGGGAGCTCCAGACCGTCCTCTCCCCGGCCACCTCCACCAGCTCCTCCGGCAGGACCCCAAGGCATTCCCGGACCAGATTGGAGATGTAACCTCTCCAACGTGTCCTGGTCGACCCCGGGGGCCTCCTGCCAACAGGACATGCCCGAAACACCTCCCCAGGGAGGCGTCCAAGAGGCATCCTGACCAGATAACCAAACCACCTCAAGTGACTCCTTTCGATCTGGAGGAGCAGCGGTTCTACTCCGAGTCCCTCCCGAATGTCTGACATCCTCACCCTATCTCTAAGGCTGAACCCGGCCACCCTACGGAGGAAACTCATTTCGGCCGCTTGTATCCGCGATCTCGTTCTTTCGGTCATTACCCAAAGCTCATGACCATAGGTGAGGATTGGGACGTAGGTCGACCAGTAAATCGAGAGCCTGGCTTTCTGGCTCAGCTCCCTCTTCACTATGACAGATCGGCTCAGCGTCCGCATCACTGCAGATGCCGAACCAATCCGCCTGTCGATCTCCCGATCCCTCCTACCCTCACTCGTGACCCCAAGATAATTAAACTCCTCCACTTGAGGAACAACCTCTCCCCTGACCCGGAGTTGGCAAGCCATTCTCTTCTGGTCGAGAACCATGGTCTCAGATTTGGAGGTGCTGATCCTCATCCCAGCCGCTTCACATTCGGCCGCGAACCTGCCCAGCAAGAGCTGAAGGTCAGAGCTGGATGAAGCTAGGAGGAACACATCATCCGCAAAAAGCAGAGACGAGATTCTCCTGCCACCAAACTCGACACACTCCACACCACGGCTGCACCTAGAAATTCTGTCCATAAAGGTAATGAACAGAACCGGTGACTAAGGGTAGCCCTGGCGGAGTCCAACCCTCACCGGGAACAGGTCCGACTTACTACCGGCTATGTGGACCAAACTCACGCTCCTCTGGTAAAGGGACTGAAAGGCCCTTAACAGAAAGCCACCCACCCCATACTCCTGGAGCGCCTCCCACAGGGTGCCCCTGGGGACACGGTCATAAGCCTTCTCCAAATCCACAAAACACATGTGGATTGGTTGGGCAAACTCCCATGCCCCCTCCATCACCCTTGCAAGGGTATAGAGCTGGTCCACAGTTCCACGGCCAGAACGAAAACCACACTGCTCCTCCTCAATCTGCAATTCAACTATCGATTGGACCCTCCTCTCCAGTACCATGGAGTAGACCTTTGCAGGGAGGCTGAGGAGTGTGATGCCCCTATAGTTGGAACACACCCTCAGGTCACCCTTCTTAAAGATGGGGACCACCACCCCAGTCTGCCACTCCACAGGAACTGCCCCAGATGACCACGCAATGTTGCAGAGACGTGTCAACCATGACAGCCCTACAACATCCATAGCCTTGAGATACCCAGAATGATTCTCATCCGCCCCCGGGGCTCCGCCGCTGTGTAGTTGTTTGACTACCTAAGCAACTTCTGCTCCCGAGATTGGACAGTGTAACGTGATGAAGAAGCTTGACATTATCTCACCATCATTGATGTCTTTTCTTTGGTTTTTGATGTAAGCCGAGAACTTGGAGAAGATGTCGATACCAGCTGTGTTGGCTTCAGGATGCTTGGGAGCCAATTTAGGGTAGCTGGAGAATGTGTGTATGTAGATTGGTCAGGTCCATTCAAGCAATATCATTTTAAACAAGCTTTCAAAACAGATTACGCAGATCAACTATAAGTCTGTTTTGGTTTGTTTCTACCATGGTGGTGTAAGCTTCTCCTCCAGGAACTCCTCTATCTTGTTGACATCAACTTTGACTTCCCCATTAAAAGTCATGAAAGGAGGATTGGTCCCTGGAGCAAGGTCCTGCAAGTCAGTTGGTTTTCTGTCGAAACAAAGTTAAAACACATCTGGTTACTGTGGCAAATGCTAACACAAGCTCCATCCATCCATCAATTTTCTGAACCCGCTTGTCAATGCAGGGTGTCTATCTCCAGCTGCCAACGGGCAAACAGGCGGGGTACACCCTGGACAGATTGCCAGTCCATCACACAAAGGACAAACAACCACGCAAACACACTCACATCTAAGGATAGTTTAGACAGACCAATCAACCTGACAGTCATGATTTTGGACTGTGGAAGGAAGCCGGAGCACCCAGAGAAAACCCACACATGCACAGGGAGAACGTGCAGAAAGACCCCAAGCTGGAATGTGAACCTAGGACCTTCTTGCTGCAGGGCAACAGCACTAACCACTGCTCCACTGTGCAGCCCCCAACATGAGCATATGTCCTTAAAATAAACAAGTCAATAAAAGCCTTTCAGTGACAGCTCTAAACAGACAGCAACAGCCTTTTCTTCTAACATAGAGACATACAGTGTGTGTGTGTGTGTGTGTGTGTGTGTGTGTGTGTGTGTGTGTGTGTGTGTGTGTGTGTGTGTGTGTGTGTGTGTGTGTGTGTGTGTGTGTGTGTGTGTGTGTGTGTGTGTGTGTGTGTGCGCGCGCGCGCGCGCGCGTGCAAATCTTACCGTTTAAGGTCAACTGTGGTAACACTAAAGATCACTCCTTTCAGCCACAAAATCATAAAAAGTCGCTGAGAGAAAGGACAGTTTCCAATGCTCTCTCCATCACTTCCTGCCTACACAGATCAGAACAGAATAAAGGTCTTTATTGTTAGTAAACCATACAAATACTGTGGGATGTGAAAGTTTGGATGTGTGAAAGCCTTGTTAATCTTCATGATTTTCCTGAATAAATCGTTGGTTTTTGTGATTAAAAAGATCTGTTAAATATCGCCTACAGGAGACACACACAGTGATGTTTGAGAAGTGAAACAAAGTTTATAGGATTTACAGAAAGTGCAATAATCGTTTAAACTAAATTGGGCAGGTGCATAAATTCAGGCACTGTTGTCATTTTATTGATTCCAAAATGTTTAGAACTAATTATTGGAACTCAAAATGGTTTGGTAAGCTTGGTGACCCATGACCTCCATACACAGGTGAATTAAATTATGAGAAAGAGAATTTAAGGGGGTCGACTGTATGTTTCCTTCCTATTTGATTTATTATCTGAAGAGCAGCAACATGGGGGTCTCAGAACACCCCTCACATGACCTGAAAACAAAGATTGTTCACCATCATGGTTTAGGCCGGGGAAGGATACAGAAAGCTGTCTCAGAAATTTCAACTGTCTGTTTCCACAGTTAGGAACATATTGAGGAAATGGAAGACAACAGGCACAGTTCTAGTTAATGCTCCAAGTGGAGGACCAAGAAAAATTTCATATGAACAGAAGAGTAGAGAACATTCAGTCAACCCACAGACCAGCACCAAAGACCTACAACATCATCCTGCTGCAGATGGAGTCACTGTGCATCGTTCAACTATTCAGTGCACTTTACACAAGGAGGTGCTGTATGTTAGAGTGATGCAGAGGAAGCCTTTTCTCTACCCACAGCACAAACAGAGCTGCTAAAGCACATTTGGAAAAGCCAGCTTCATTCTGGAATAAGGAGCTGTGGACTGATGAAACTAAAACGGAGTCATTTGGACATAACAAGAGGCGTTATGCATGGAGGAAGAAGAACACAGCATTCCAAGAAAAACACACGCTACTGTAATGAAATAAATTACAGTTATTTAATGAGCCATAAGGCGTGGGGTTCCATAGGAAATATGAAATCCACCTTACGGATCGCAGGGTTATTTAAACCAGAAGATTGGATCTTTTTATTGCAGGGATTAGATAACCGCTACGTATTCACTCAGAGACAACAGAAGAGAGAGAGTCAAGTTTAAAAGTTAAGAATTTAATTACTAACAAATTAAACTAGACTGACTTCAAAACTAAATGTATGGTGTAACTAAAATGGATGAGACGGTGAATGGATGACTTGTGATGTTAAATCAGAACCAACAAATCCGCAGAAGCAATTGTTCTGACGGAAACTGAAGGTGTTGTTTTCGCATTAAGCTATTGTTCAGAAGTTCAGAAACACATGAGACACCATGATGCTGATCTACCTACCCTGCTGGAAGTCCTCTGTAGATCAGGAATATCGAGGTCCAGTGGACCCTCTCTGGAATCGCGCCGGTAGGAAAAGCCGCGGTTCCGATCAAACCCGTCTTGAGTTACTTCCGGGTATACGACAAGTTATTGGTGTCTGGTGAGACCCAAGCCTGGGTCCGGATGGTTGAGCTTTTGTTCTGAAAGGAACTGCTGCCGCTGTTGGAATAGCGACTGGATTTTTCAGCTTGTCGTTAGTTCTTTCGATTAAAGGGTTTAGATCAGGATTGGCCACTCCGTCACTTTCTCTGGAACGCTTTGAACTGGCGTTAGAGCTGACGTGGCATAGTTTTATATTTCGGATGTTATGGTTTATTGTCAAATGAAAAATTACCAAATACCGTCAAAACCACGCCTCCGTCAGATGTGTAAGATTCTGATTGGATCAGTGAAAGGAATGTGTTATGTCTTTTTAACGCTACGTGAAATGAGTCCTGCTGGAACCCTTAAAGTCACAGTACCTTTATATTCTATAGGATTATAATAAGGTAATTAATATTTTGATTTCACAGGTCGGTCACATCTTATTTATTGACTAACACTTTGATGGATTAGCTTTATTAAAATGGAGTTCTTTGATTAATTAAAAGAAAATAGTTCATTCTTCATTCTTCTGTTGAGCTGAAAATAAGCAGGCTAGAAGGAATGCATGAGACCTTGAGACTTATCTCATGCAGACTAGTCTTGAGCAAAGAAGGGAAAAAACAGTCTTCCGTTCCGTTACACTACCTACAGTAAAACATGGTAGTGGTACCATCATGCTGTGGGGCTGTGGCCATTGCATGGACTGGCAATCTTAACAATCAGGCTTCACTTTAATTTACCTGTAGCTCCAGACAAGTGCATAAACACACTACTTGTTTTTGTTTTCTATACTTTGAAGTTCAGGTTCACCTTTTGACTTCAATACAAACAGCAGAAGATCTAAAGAAATATGTGGACTTTCTCGCCTGGTCCACATATGGGGAAATGACTGACTTTGGTGGTGAACAGTAAAAATCATAAACTTGACTACTTTTCTCCAAAATGAAACCCTGATATCACAGAAAACATGATAATTTGTTGCAAATGTTACAGGATCAAAAACTGTGGTTTGAATGGAAGTCAATGGGACGTTTTTGTCCGATAAAGTGTACTGTATAGTGGGGTGTTTTTTTCATAGTGTTCCCTTGGTCTTTTCAAAATTTGTCCAGAGAGGGGTTTTGCAACAATGCAATAAAGCTTTTTCTGATTCTGATTCTGATTTTGTACCATATGCACAAACGGGGGTGAAATGGTGACAAAAAGAAAAGCAAAAACTGTCCAAATGAACTAAAATGTCCCTAATGAAGCCTGAGGGTTAAAGTTGAGGGATGCATGGATTCCACTCAATATGAGCAGAATCTAGATACTACTTTCCAGGAATCAGTGACAACACTGAAGCTGCACCAGGGCTGGATCTTTCCACAAGACAATGACCCTAAACACTACATTGGGTTGTTTTCTTTTTGTGGTGCCCAAATTTGTGCACCTGTCTAATTTCGTTTAAACAAATATTGCACATTTTCAGTAAATCCTATAAACTTCATTTCACTGTGTGTCTCCTATATCTTGTATATAACTGAAATGCCGTTCATCATCAACCAATGATTTATAAAGATTAACAAAGCCCCCCCAAACATTTGCATCCCATTGTAGATACCGGAGCTGCAGTAATAGGTCCATAGGCGTTCCTTGAAAGATTTCATTTACTCATGCCAGAGTTCAAATACGATTAACTTGTGTTGGTAAATGATGACATTACAGCAGCAGCTCTACTCTGAGTCTCTGCCGGATATCCGAGCACCCCACCCTATCTCTAAGACTTGTCATGGTCCATGGTGAGCTGACTGCAAGTAACCTGGCTTTTCCCTCTGAGCATTGTTTCCACAGGTGGGCGTGTCTGAGAGCTCCAGCTGCAGCTGATCTCCTCATCAGGCCCAGGGGATTTAAGGAGCAGTGCGACACATCACCACGCCGGATTATTACTCTGTTTGGGTAGCTTCAGCCTCAGCCTGACCTTGAAACTCATTTTTGTATTCTTGTGAATCTGTTGCCAGTAAACCCCTTGATACCCTCTCCTGCTCCCCTCCAGGTTCCTCTCAACTCATCACCAGCTCCAGAACAAGCCCGGATCTCAGTTTACCTGACGCACTGCTTCATCCCCTGGCCGCCCGCTCTCAGCCGCTCACCAACCAACATCCATTCCTGCTCCTCCACCTCTGGACAACCTATACCTCACCTTTGGATCTCCTCAGCTCACCCGGACCCGACAATCCTTCCCGTGCAATTACTACTACCGAGTAACAGTAAGACCAGTCTCCAGATAAGTTCCCATTGTTTTCCGCCTTATATTCACTCTGTCTCCCTCCTTAGAAACTCTCCTGGATTCCTGCTGCCAGTCCTGCATCTCGTCGGTTCCCGTCTCTTACTTTTTCCTTATTTAGTAATAAAGACCTTTTACTTACATCCCTGCTCTCCGTGTTTGGATTCAGCATGTCGTGGGTCAAGGAAATTGCCACCCAGACGTGACAGAATAATCCAGCCAAAAGTTGACTCCATTGCAGAATCCAATTCGTCCGTTAACTTCCCGCCTGTCGTTTCCGAAACCCTCTCCCGTCATCAACACGCCATCCATAGTTTGCTGAAACAGGTGTCTGACTCCCACCAACGGCTACTCCATGTGAGCAACGTGTTGCACCACCTTGCTAGTAAGCTAACTCCCCCGGAACCGTCTGATCAGCCACCTCCTGTTTCTCCTCCGTCCGCACATCCGGTTCCGTCTCCTGTTATCGACTTCCGGATACCCAGCTCTCCCCCAATGGAGACCTATTCCGGTGAGTTCGGCAGATGCCGACGGTTTTTGTTTAGCTGTCAGTTGGCTTTTAAAAGATCACCCGAAGCATTTGTCTCAGATTCAGTTAAGATCTCTTACATAATCGGATTACTCCGAGGAAAGGCGTTAGACTGGGCTGAGGCTAGGAGTCATGATGCCGGTTTTCTGAGTGGTTCCCTCTCACGGTTTCTGACCGAATTTAACAAGACTTTTGACCATTCTGAGTCCCCAGCTGAAATCGCAAAAAAGTTGTGGAATCTCCATCAGGGAGATCAGACCGTAGCCGATTTCACGATAGAGTTCAGCACACTGGCAGCGGTTTCCTATTTAGATCACGGTTCACTCCTCGGAGCATTCACCCAGGCTTTAAACGATCGTCTCCAGGATCAGTTGGCGTTATGCCAAGAACCCCCCGACCTTGAATCGCTTATAAGTTTAGCATTTAAGATAGAAAAGCGTCTCAAGGAACGTTCTAGGGGTTCTCCAGTATCCCTTCCCCCGCTAACCCAGACCAAAGATTTTCTGCCACAAGTTACGGCGCCATCTGGAGATGAGCCCAGGCAGAGAGGCAGAACAAAATTAACCCCAGAGGAGAGACAATGCCGCTTCGCTTCTAACCTCTGTCTCTACTGAGGTCAACCTGGTCACCGACTCTCAAGTTGCACCCTGCGTTTAAAAGGGGCAGGTCCGCCAGTAGTTCCGGGAATACTGGTGGG